AGTGTAGAAAAACGTTTCATAGAGGTCCAAAATATGCCTTCATATACAAACCGAGTGTCGTTTCTATACCCCTCACCACAAGGATGCAATTGTAGGTGTGTGGATTAATTATCCATCGCTACAACAAAAATCTGCTTTGAAAAAGGACTGTTTATAGAATGAAGACAAATGTCGAACCTTGACAAATTTTAATTTAATTCGCATCAGGGCGAAGTTATCAACATACGACCTTTGTAAAGCCAATATGCCTGATGAGCCGCTTAACCAACGGCGAAACGCATCGCATAATGGTGGGTACGTGGGTTCTCCTGGCTTTCCTTTTCATTGAAAAACTTAGATCATTAAGCTCGACTCGAAAGATTATAAATAACTCACATATAATTGAAATGATCACTGCCCTTACAAGGCAAAATTCAAACAAAAAAAGTACATGTCGCATTTATGTTGCGAATTGCTCCCACATATAATTGAAATGATCACTACCCTTACAAGGCAAAATTCAAATAAAAAAAAGTACAGGTCGCATTTATGATGCGAATTGGCTGAAATTTGGCACAGCTCATTTATTTGGTCCAAGAACGACCCTATTGAAATTGGTGAAAATCAGCTTAGATTTCAATATATAGCTCCCATATACATTTTCGTCCTATTTTATCTAAATGGTGCAAAAAAGCCCATATATTTCTTTCGATTTGCAGGAAAATTGGCATATCGTATTGAATTGAGTCTAGAATGATGTCTGCTACGTTTTGTGAAAATCGATTCAGATTTAGATATAGCTCTTATATATATTCGTCCGATTTTATGTAAATGGTGCAGAAAAGCCCGTAATTTTTTTTCGATATGCTCGAAATTCCCCATATCACACTGAATTAAGTCTAGAATGATTTCTGCTACGTTTCGGGAATATCGGTTCAGATTTAGATATATATTTTCGTCCGATTTTATGTAAATCGTGCTCTAGTACATGTGTATTCTCGAAAGAATTCGAATAGAAGAAACGATATGGTTCGTTTAGATGTTCAAGAAGAAATACTTAATCAGGTCGATCATGACTACCATTGAGAAAATTTCGAAAAACAAGTATATTGATTTAGTAAATGACCAATAATTTTCAAATTTCGAGTTCTTGTAGTTGATACACGATACTGAATTTTGGGGGGCTGTCATAGTATTACTATTGTGAAAATTGCTTTTGTTCGCCCGCCTGTCTGGCCGGCTTGTGCGCACGCTAACTATCGAAGGGAGTAACCGCTTTCATTCCATCTTTGTACATCGCAATATTTCTTCCAAATTTAGTTCATGTTCGAAGAAGGGGAATATAGGTTTACTTATACCACCAACAAAAAATTGGTCTAAACTTTGCTGAAAATTCATTTTGTAATATCATACAAACCGAAAATCCGATTTGAACCAAACTTTGTACAACCTATTGTATTTACCAATCCTAGATCAAGTCCGACGATGGGACCTTCTTCTGGCACCTCCCCCACAAATGGTGCAAATTTTCAATATTTTTTAATCCAATATCAGGGGAATTGAATGTCCGATTTAAACCAAACTTTGCACAACCTTTCCCAAGCCTAGATCAGGTCTTTAATTTCGGTTTTGGACACGTTTTTCAACCAAATTGGCTTTAATTTTATATTGTAGATTATCATTGGGTAGAATATCACCTTAACAAAAATATTTTAGATGAACTATATTACAAATCTCTATAAGATATTAAACCAATACAACATCAAGCTGTCAATAAGTTGATTTACCCACGCCCGTCAGTCTATTTGGGCAGGGCATTCTTTCAAACGAATTCAGATAATAAAGCATCTAAGTCATATGTAGGTTCAAAGATCACCTGTCAAGGTTTTAGTCTCATTTGCTAAAACTAACGGGGTCTCAATTGATGAGGGAAATTCTACTTATTCCACATTTTATTAATACTTTCAGCCACATTAACTTTCATACATTATTTCAATTTTTTTAAGAGTAAGAAGCGCCCTTGCAAAGGCATATAGTCCCTTGGTTGATATAATACGTCCTTAGAACTGATGATGAATATTTATATTTCATTTATTTAATATCTCAATGATGAATTCTGACACTCAGTACATGCATACTAACGTGAGACTGTGTTCTCTTAATACGAAATTAGAAACCGTGGCACTGATAACAAAGAATACAAAATTGTGCAAACTGTTAATTGTGATATCATTAGGAAGGTGTTAAATTTGAAATTAAAAAATGATCTTAATTGCATTTACGTCAATATTCAGCAATTCGAAAGCACAAAAACAAATTACAATAAATATTTGGAATCATTTAATGATACCAAACAAATTCATTTAATGTTGATAATTAAAAGAAACAGTTAAATTGCAGTTTTTAACAATTATGAACAGGTCAAAGAACTAAAATATTATTTTTATTGTACCTTAATACAAAACTTAGGGAATAATCTACTAACTCCATGTTCATGAGCAAAATCAAAATCATCAATATGACTCAATTCAATGAGTTCACGCTCATGAAGTAAAATCATGACTACCATCTAATATATTCAATTAATATAAACTGAATCAATATAGACTGAATCACACTGTAATACAGGTCATTTTGACGTTGTTCCAAAATTAGATAATATATGCAAAAACAATGTTATTTTAATCATGTATTTAAAATAATTTTCTATGTCGATTTACTAATCTCATTCTAGTCGAATTTTTAATTCATTTTTTATTCGCCAGAATCTGATATGTCAAATAATACCCATTCCTATTAGTAAATTCGATTAAAAATGTATTAATACCGAAAGAGAAGCGGAGCGTTTAGATAAGGTTATAACAAAACTTTTTCCTATATATACACCGCACACATTTTCTATAAAAGTCAGCCTTCCAGAACCCTTTATATCAAATTACAGCCCCATCGGTGGGAAAATGCGACTAAAGTCTTCAAAATGCCGAAAATGGGATGGTACATTGAATGGAGAGCCATAACAAACCGTAAACTGACATTGCTAATTTTTAGTACGAAGATCTGACACCCTATAAGAATTTGATAAATCAAGTTAGAGCGATTTCCGTTGAAAAATATGACCAAACCCCCCAAAATACTGAATAATGGGGGTTACCGTTATATGGGGCTACCCGGAATTTTGGGCAAATATTTATCATTTTTTGTAGGGAGGTTTTATACTCAATGGGAATTCAAAATATAACCAGTAAGGAAAGAAGTAAAAGTCGGGCTGGGCCGACTATATGATACCCTTCACCACTTTGGGTATATTCTAGATCTGGATCTTAACAAATTGAAAGAATTGAAGTATGCAATAATTATATGTAAGCGAATCGACTAACAACAACCCATACACATGCCTTTCTGCAGCCTATGCTAAATTTCATTTCATTCGGGCAGATTTAGAGTCGTTAGCAATAGGATAAATTTATGTAAATCGATTTATAGCAAACATTATACACGCTATTCGATATGCCGCACTGTTCAAAATTTTCTCAATCTCCATTTCGTGCAAAACGAAATATATATAGGGACATTGGTGCACCATTTATATTAAATTGGATGAGAATATATATCTGAACCGATTTCCACGAAAATTAACACACTTCGCTCTAGACTCAATTTAGTACGCTATAGCAAATTCCGTGTAAGTCGAAGGATATATAAGGACTTTGGCACTCCATTTACATTAAATCGGACGAAAATATATATTGGAGCTATATCTAAATCTGAACCGATTTTTAGGATACTCAACACACATCATTTTAGACTTATGACAGTACGCTGTGCCAAATGTCGTGGAAATCGAAACATATATAGGGGCTTTGGTGCACCATTTACAATAAATCGGACGAAAATATATATGGGAGCTATATCTAAATCTGAACCGATTTCCAGGAAACTCAACACACATCATTTTAGACTTATGACAGTACGCTATGCCAAATTTCGTGGAAATCGAAACATATATAGGGGCTTTGGTGCACCATTTACATTAAATCGGACGAAAATATATGTGGGAGCTATATCTAAATCTGAACCGATTTTTACGAAACTTAACACACATCATTCTAGAATTAATTCAGTACACTTTGCCAAATTTGGTGTAAATCGAAAGATATATAAGGACTTTGGTGCACCATTTACATAAAATCGGACGAAATTATATATGAGAGCTATGTCTAAATCTCAACCGATGTTCACGAAACTTAGCACACATCATTCTAGACTTAATTCAGGACGTTATGCCAAAGTTCATGCAAATCGAAGGGTATATATATATGAACATCTCAACCGATGTTCACGAAACTTAGCACACATCATTCTAGACTTAATTCAGGACGATATGCCAAAATTCATGCAAATCGAAGGGTATATAGGGGCATTGTTGCACCATTTAAATTAAATCGGACGAAAATATATATGGGAGCTATATCTAAATCTGAACCGATTTTCACGAAATTTCACACACATCATTCAAGATTCAATTCAGTACGCTATACCATATTTCGTGCAAATCTAAATATATATAAGGGCTTTGGTGCACCAAAAGCAAAGTTTTTTAATGACATATATTCCGAAGAAGAATGCTAGAAAATCAGATTCACATATTATAGTACAGGCTCAATTATTTCCTGTTCTTCCTAATCTTCATAGTTCAATCCATTTGTGATTTCGATTTTGATCTTATTAAGCTAGTCGTTCGTCTGATACTAACTGCTACCTTATAGGGAAATACTGCAGAATTTTCATATTTTCGAGTTTATTACAGGTTGTAGGGTATCAGAAGTCTATTATGGTTAATTCAACTTAAGGTAGTGTTTAAATTTTTCTTCTTGTACGACAAAATAACCATTTATCACACCTAATTCACTTATTTTTGTTATTTCACTTAACACACAATCCCATTTGAAATTCTCTTTTATACTAATTTTGTTTATTTCTTTACAGCTTTAAATCAACAACTGCAACAACACACACCTCTATTAAAAATGGTCAAAACATTTCAAGCCTATTTACCGTCCACAAATCGGACCTATTCATGTGTTCATTGCCGTGCTCATTTAGCCTCACACGATGAGCTTATCTCAAAATCATTTCAGGGTAGTCAAGGACCAGCATACCTCTTTAATTCCGTTGTCAATGTCGGCTGTGGACAAACGGAAGAACGGGTACTGTTGACCGGCCTGCACGCTGTCGCCGATATCTTCTGTGAATGTTGTAAAACTCCGCTGGGTTGGAAATACGAACATGCCTATGAGTCGAGTCAAAAATACAAGGAAGGCAAATATATTATAGAGCTGGCCCATATGATTAAAGAGAATGGTTGGGATTGAACTATGGTCGTGGAGCCGCAAAGGTGGACGTTTATCGAATGTCATCGAATGTTCTGTATTATGTAAAGTCAGCAACATCAGCAGCAACAGCAATCGCATCAGCAACAGTAAACGCAACAGCAGCAAACGATCAAGAAGAAGGAAAAGAAATGCAGACATTATTGCTAAGAATAAAAACAAGAATAACAACAACAATTACAACGATGGGACGTGATAAACGGCAACGTTGAGCTATCGGTTCGGGGAGATATAGTGACTGGGAGTTTAGTATGTAACAACAACAACAACTGAAAATTATTTAAAAAATATCAACAACAACATGATTAACATTTCAAAAAAAAAAAAAAAAAAAAAAAAAAAAATCAACAGTCAACAACAATAAGAAAAGTAACAACATATATTAATGCGCCAGAGGAAAATTAGTTACAGCAAGTTAATAGTTTAAATGTAAAAGAAAAAAAAAAACACTACAGAAACACATCTACATACCGACATTAATCTATCATACTGCGCGTAGGCTGATCAACTGGAGTGATAGCAAATCAAAAAACAACAACAAAAATAATAATAACAGCACTGGTTGGCTTATTTATTATTTGTGTCTGGACACACCAACAACAACAACTAAAATTGTAGTAATTAGTGTTAGAACGACATGCTAAGTGTAGCACCATTTAGTTCCAGAATAGCAAATTGTTTAGTAGCTATTGATCATTGTCGTTCTAGCTGCCCCGTCTGCCTGCCTGTCCTATCTTCAAGAAGGAGTTCATTTTGTGTATTCTGTTATATTCTTGTTCCGTTCATTTTGTTTTCTTAAGAAGTGTGTTTCTCTATTTTAGATATATACATAGATGCATATTATGATTATTATAATTATTAATTGAATTTTTGAAATCCAATGGAATTCGAATAGTGGAAACAGTCATCCCAGTGAACAATTGTAATTGAATTGGAATTTTATTATTGGAATTATATTTTACCAAAAATGGTTAATATCTAATCTTTGTTTAGTCATAGTCCCTCATATAATTTCGGCATTATAATGAATTCGGCATTATAATGAATTCGGAGATGTTTTTCAAACGAATTGGCTCTCAGTGGGGTTGAAAATGTTCCTACTAGTAAAATGTTAGGTACAGCCTTCATATATAGGTCCAGCCTTATTATTCCGGGGGAATTTTCCAATCGAAGAGCTTATATTTTAGTGTATAGTGTCTATATATTGGTTGGTAAAAATACCTATACAGAAAATTGTCAATCCACGTTTTTGATAGTGTTCATGTTTATTTTTTCAACAAAAGGGTCTGTAATTTAGTATGCCTACCATATTCTTAGAGGATGATTCATGACTTAGCTGAAAATGTTCAGCAAATGGGGGACGTTCCGACAAATTATACCCCCGCTCATTTTAGGTATTTTGAAGTTTGTAAGCTTATGTTCCAAAATAAGTGGCTGTGAATGGGAAATCGATAGGGAAAACATTTTTGGCACATCACCCATGTAACGATATGGTCCCACTGTAATTTTTTTGAATATTTTTGCCACCTTTTATAAACGAAGTTGGAGTAATTTGGTATTCCGGGCTCCATGTGGAAAAAACTTCTTCGAAGAAAATGAGATAGCATGAGGCTGAAAGATTCCACCTTCTTTTCCATATTTTCATGGTCAAAGGCTATAATTTTGCATATCGAGTCTGCCGTGACTAAAAATTAATTCACAATAAATTATGAATAACATTTCTATTTTCGATATTACTTCCATAGAAATCCATACTTGAGTGCCTCTAATTTGGTATTTCAAATATGTAAGTTTTTTAATTTTGTTCATAACCCAAATGAAAAGAAATCGATATTTAATGGAATAAGGTAGATAATATGTTCACCGCAATTTCGTTATCTATCGAATGTTATCGGTTTGAGAGGGGGTCAAGAATATCGTATCATGTCCGGTTGTGTGCTCTTATAAGATCTCTCACATCATAATTTAATTATATCTAAGCTCAAATGAATTACATCTCTTAATCTGAAACGAGGTATTGTGGCTTACACAAGCCGCGGTGGCTCCCTAAAACCAATGAAAGACTATTCTCAATTGTATATCTACTTTTGGAAAAATTCATATGACAGGGTTATGTTCCATATGAAACGAGTTAAATGTTTGAATGTCAAAATCCCTTTTATAAACAGTTTCCCTTCTTTTGGCCACAACGATTTCCATTATTTAATTATTCTTTCCTAACCTAAAATGAAATGAAAGGGACATTAGAAAATCCATATAAATATTACAAATTTAAAAAAAATAATAGGTTTCCTATTAATTTTTTCCAATTGCACAGTTTAAAAAAATTAAATATTTTGTATATTTTCTTTATCATCATATATAATTAAATTTAATTTCAATAAAAGCAATATATTTCCAAAAACAAAAACGATAATAATAAATACCATCTATTATTTTAAGAAACAATTGTTCACTGGGATGTCGATAATTATAAAAATGTATTAATGCAAAACTATGTAAAACAAAAATTATAAATAATTACTTGATTACTTTTTGTAAATGTATCCTATACATATAAAGTTAATTTACACAAAATCACATTTTGTCAATCATAAATATCAAACAAAAAACCAACCACCCATCAAACATCATTGACCCACCTATGTAAGAAAACAAAAAACAAACAATGAATAGAAAAAAGAAATAAATTGTAAACACCCAATTTAAATTTATATTTTCCCAATTAGGGCCACATTTTAATGAAAATAATTACTTTTTCTTTTGTTCACACAGAAAAACTCTCGGCCTCTAAATCTCCCCAGAAAAGAAAAACACACAAAAAAACATTGGAACATCAAATAAAAAAACACATTTTTGAAAAATTTCAAATGTTTTCATTAAATTTCTTGTTTGGACCAACAAATTAAAAGATAAAAAAAATTACATTTACACATAACAATTCTTGTTCAAATTTCTACTACCAAAATAAAACTGATAAAAGAACGCTTAAAAAGCATACATCGTTTATTAATGAGCAAATTCCTAGCAGCTATATAACGTTTGAAAAAGCTATGATTTTGAAGCGTCATTCTTTTTTGGTTTGTTTCGTTAAAGACCTTGCCGTTTTAGCTCTCCCCTTAAAGATCGAAAAAAGATTAAAAAAACGGTTGAACAAATTTCAATTTCTAACCATCACCATATGTATTTTTGTATTTGTATACCAAACAACGCAGCATTACAAGAAATACTCGCGCTTTTTGTCTCATTTTGCGTTTTCATACCACATACAGACATATTTATGTAATTTGTGAATCAACATACTATATTCAATGAATAAAGTTTGGTTTTCTGATTTATATATATGTTTCATAATAATTTATAGACTTTCTATATGTGTTTCTTTAGATATTAATAAATTTATATATAAATGTATAAAAAGGTAATACAAAAGTATATTGTTGGTCATACATATAATTATATTAATTTGTTTAATTGAATTTTGTGTGAAGTTTTTGTTAAATGAGAAAGAAAGAAAAAACATTTCAGAAACACCCTTTAATTCATTCCACTATCATATTATAATCACGATCATATTCATAAGGAAAATACAAAACAGTATTCAATTAGTTTTAAAATTCATATCATCAAAAATCATTGTCATAAAAAACAATTAGAAAAAAACTCAGTATACTATCATCCCTGTAAAATTTTAAATTGACAGATCTGTTATGAAATTAAAATATTATTATATATTATATTCCTATACCTCATATATCTTATTTCCACACAGCTGAAATTGTATCGATATTTTGGTGTGTTTGAAATGAAAGTCCTTAAATTGTTTCAGAATGTATTTCTGCATGCTTGAAAGGCTTAAACAAATTGTTTGCCGAATATTAGCAGATTGTTTTCTATTTGTCCACACTTTTTCAAACCTTAAATGTTAAATTGATATTTCATTGTCAACAAGGGAAAAATTATTAACATCGGTCCACTTTTAGGTATAGCCTCCACATAAAGCTCCAGCATTATTGTGAGTATTTTTATGGTCCTAGGAATATTTTTCAACCAAAGTTTCGGTATTTTGGCATTTATTGTCCTTAGTGGATCTAAACACCACTGCAGAAACATTTCAATATAGATTCAGGTTTTGGTAGAGCCCCTATATATAATTGTAGCGTCCCAAAATAAGTGAGGGTACCTAGCAAGGGCGTTTTATGAAGAATAATTCTGAGGCTTCATAATTATTAGAGAACAGTGACCTTAACAAAATTCGTTTAATATCGAATGTAGTCAGTTTCGGATATCAATTATTGTCACTCTCAAAAATATGGCACCACCCTATTCCAAGCAGAACGATGTTTCGAATATAGTTTTGCGGCATAGACCCATGACCTTCAGTGTACGAACCAAAGCAGAGTCAAGAATATTACCACATATACCGCCGTTAAAAGCTTAATGATACCTCCATATAGCCAAGATGGACTACGTTCCTAACAAGAATTTATGTGTACCAATAGGACATGCAAAAATTTGCACCACTGTGGTTTCTATTATCAAATTAAAGGCTAGGATTGTGTTCATCAGTAATGGAAAATTGAGTTTCTAATGGTCTCAAGAGTTATATTCACTACAAATTCGATTGAGTAGAGCATAAGTCTAAATAATTCGAAAAAGGTCTCTCACTACTGTGTCCGAATATCAAATTGTGACTTAATGTATTATCTTCTATATCCAAACAGAATAAGCAAGCAATTGCACCATGTTAGTTTCGTCTATCATATTAGGGTCTATTCTAAGGTTATTCTAGGTCCTACTACATTATGGTAGGATTGTTCTATTTATTGCATATTTAGAAAAATTAGGTTTCTGATAGGCGTGGGTGTAACGTTGGATCATGTAAAGATTTCTATATTCACTAAAATTTAATTGAGTAGATGATTATTCTAAGGACTTTTGAAAATGATCAGCGATTGCAGTCTAATGAATCCAAAATTAATG